ACAATCGAAAACGAAGGAAGAAAAAAGTGGTTTCACACTCGTGTGATACGAAGAAAAACCAAAGTAGTTAAATTTATATAAAGACTGATGCTTTTTTGACAATTTTTTTGATAAGCTGATTTGACTTAAAATATGTCGGCATGAGTGCTCAACTGGCGATATTCATCTTTTAAATTTCATTTAAAGGCATTTCTTGAATTTTTCACTGCTGCATTTCGGGAGTGACGCAATTTAGTGGTGAAGTTTCTTCGTGTAAAAGAAATACGTGGAATGAAATTCTCTATCAGGCCTTGCTGGTGTTTGCACCAGGCTCTGCTTTCGAGTTGTGATGGTGAAAAAATAAAATGGGGATGAGTGAAAACCTTGTCTTTTGCACACAGCTGCGATTGTGATGCATTTTGTAAAGAAATCAAACTTAATGTGTGCAAGCGACTGGTATCGCTGGAGTTCTCGGGCTTGAAGACACCTGACGCCCTTGCTCTGTGCATACATAGACATGACACAGATGTAGGTGAGGCAGGACATAGCCATAGGTGCCCAGGTTCTGTGAAGCCTTGTTTGTGCTTGGTGGTTTCAAGTAATATGGGTTTTGGGTGACATCTGAAAATCTCAGAAAGGGGAATATTGGTTTGGCATGTGCGATTAGACACTGTCAGGCAGGAGTGGAAAATTCACATTAAATATGGGGAAAAGGAATGAAAAAGTCCTCTTCACAGGGTGTCGCTTTGCACTCAAAGTCGGCAATTCTAGGACACTGGTGAACACGACACTCTAAGAATGGTCTAACATAAGCCAAGTACAGCTTTTTTACAACATTCCTACTCTTTTGATGAGCATTCACATCTAGAAGTCCCAGCCTCCCCAAAACTACTCAAATTCATCACCCCACGCTCATCGTAACTGAACGACATCTGCCACAGAGAAGCCCACTTCACTGGTTTCTCTGAGTCAAGTTGACTTTTGCTCACCTGGTCTATATGTTTCGACACCCCTATCAATTCATATCGTCAGCATGTGAACTCCAATTAACTAAATTATCCAAGAACAACTCATTGCAACAGTCCAATGACACTCATTTGAACACTGAACATACAGTGAACGTACTTTTGGTGGGTTATAAGTTACTCAAGCATCCAATGTTGGGAACATATTAGTGCGCTTTTGTTCTTGCCCGTCAGTACTTGATGCGGGGCCCATTGTTGACACAATAAAGTGATAAGCTGACTTTCTTCTTCTTCTTTTCAAAACTTGAATCTCTTTTAGCTTTCTAAGCCCTTTGGAAACGGAGTTTGTGCGACATATAAAGGAAATGTTCCACATTTGAAAATGTTGAAGGAGACAATAGATATCATGAAATAAGCTCACTTATAGCAATTAATACACTTGTAGGTGGAGAAGACTGTTCTGGACACCACGGTCTTTCTATGCAATAAATATGCTTAGAAATACGTCATTGTTTGATTACGTCATCGTACCTTATGATAATCAAATAGCGTGAACGGCGTAATTTGAACTCTTCAAATTTATGTCCTTATTTTGTCTCGGTGGTACTGCAGTGACTACCCAATGCTATTATTAGACATAACTAGTCCTGAGATTTCACGAGAGCATGTTTCTTGAAATATGCCCCAAACGTTGCACACTCCCTTCAAAGTATACTTTATGGCATAAGTGAGCTTTCTTCATCACATATGACGCTTGCTTCAGTGTCTTGAAATGCCCTACATTCCATTTAAGTTATTCGGTCAAGGGTCTTACGTCCCTCGCTCACTCAAGTCTATCGTCCATCCGTCTAGTCTATCTAGCCTTATCGCTTACTACTGCCCGGCTCCTGTTTTGTGCTCTTATGTAGCACAAAGCATGAGCCGTGTTTGAAACGGCCACTAAACGCGCTGCATTAGTATCGGGCTAACCGAAGTCCGTTGATGCCAAGAATTGTGTTGGCGTATACAAGACATTGCAGCTCGATGGTCATATTTTCATTTTGGCTTCAAACAGTACTGGGCCCATGAGACGGCAGCATTCGCTTAGCATGTTTATGGTGTTATGCACGCCTACGTGACTTTGACCTTGCCTGCACCTTGCGGGCATCTGGGTCAGTAACCAGAGGGTTTTAAGTTTTAAGAAGGGCAGGACTCTGACGCGCATGGAACGGTGTTCAACACTGGTTATATCAGTTTAGAACGCCATGCAAATGTGTAATGCTCCCTTCAAAAGAACTTAACATTTAAAAATATGGAAGCAAGCATTAGATGTGATGAAAGATATTACTATTGGTAAACTTTTGGTAACTATTGGTAAACTTTGAAGAGCAAGATACTTTTATAGACAACACAGTTTCTGTATTTACTCGATATGCTCCTCAATACGTCACTGTTTGATGGCGTCATGAAACGTTTCCGTGATGTTGATGTTCTACCAAACTAGTCGCGCAAAGCTGACACCCTAGCGCTCACCCAAGTGCTGTAACTCGACGAGAGATGGCAGTAGCAGTGCTGAAAGTGTTCGCTGAGCCAAATATCGCTATGCGCCCGTCTTTTGGCCCTGTTTGTAGTGTTCTTGTATATGCGCGGTTTTAAGACGTGTACTCGCATTCAAATACTCAGTCATCGCGCTATTTTAAGTTATTCGCTCACAAGTCTTATTTCCACCAAAACCAGCGACCATGCACAGTCTCATACTATGTACCACAAAAGCATTTCCTTGACAGGATATCCGACCCTCTCATACTCTGTTATTGCTTCACCCTGAATCCTCGCGATGCCCCGCTTGTCCGGGGTAGGCTGCATGCGCCAGCCACGAGTGAGCTGAGGCCCATGGGAAGGGGGACACTGACGGGCGCCCAGCGCAGCGCGGGGACTCTGGGAGGTCCCTGCGCGGTCTAAAGCTCGGCAGTTAGCCCCCCAGGCGCATATAGTCTTACCTCGCTGTAATCCATTCTCCTTTATCCCATAGCCCTGGAATGAGCTTTTCTGGTCGAAATGGCTCTAAACCAAACAAAGAAACAACCAAACTTGATAGAAAGTGGCATAGCTTGCTCAGCATAGATTGAGCGCCAATTGGCATCAACTATATTTGGAAATCGTGCTGACGAAGGCCAGATCAGAACGGCTTGACGGTAATATTCTTGGATTTGAAGGCCGCATGACCTATGTGACAGCAGTGTTCGCGTAACGTTGCTGTGGTGTTAGCACATTGTTGTCGTGCATACGTTTCCAGGCAACCCATGTTAACAACGTGAGCAATGGTGCTGGTTGATTCCGGTGGGGTTGGCATATTTCACGACATTTCCGGCGCACAAGCGACATATGGAAAATGCGGTTTCATAACCTAGGTTCGACTTTGACATCACAACATTACTATGGGGCATCGGGGTATCCGCTTTGAGTGTGGGTTTTTCTTTGGTATTGGTTGTGCTGATGTTGACTTGTCATCCCTGCGTGGGGCAGGTCTTGCAATCTGATCGCGCTCACAGAGGTAAGTTTTGGATGTACTTGGCTGGATTGGGTCTGATTTTAAACAGTTACTGTGTGTCGTAGCATTCGTATTGGCCATGTGTAAAGCCACACGGAAATTTTAAAAAAGTACGGAAAAAGTTCATACGGAAAAATGTCATACACAGTAGTTTTCGTTATACTTCATGGTGCATTACATTGTAATATACAGTAGTCTTTCTTTTTCTTAATATACTGCTGTTTTGATGGGAAATTGTCGATCAGCTATGTCGATTGTGCGCCGTCGACACAATCGATCATTGTGTCGACCATTGTCGATCAGCTATGCACGTTACGCGGCATCGGTTGGCGCCCGCCACCCGTACCGTCAGTAGATTGCCCTTGCGGTGTTGTTTACAAGCTGCTCCTAGACTAGACTAGACTAGACTCCAAGACTAAAAAATGTTGGGAGTTAAAAAACGCCCACAATCGGTATAGTAAGATATAAAACCCTCACAAGAGGCAAACCTATGCGCAAGCAGGAAGGCAAAAACCTCAAACGAAAATGGTCGATAACTTTTTGCTATAGCCATCCTTAAAGGGAATACTTCATATATGTATTGGGTCTTGAACCGAAACAGCAATTTTGAAGCTCATTCGGTGCAGCGTACATCCACACCCTTCTTTAAACCAAAACTCTTCTACTTTCTGAGCAACACGCCCACGAAGATGTGCAGACTATTTCATGCAAACTTTTTCTAGGTCACCCAGGCATCCACGACGCAATAAGACGTCATTCGAAGTCAGTAATTCCATCGGTCATGAGGGGATCAAGGCCAAGAAAAATGAACTTGTCAGGCCGTTGGTATCTCCTTTTCGTGAGCCGATTTCCAGACATAACGGCCGTCCATTACCTCTCCATTAATGTTGTGCAGGGTAAAATGGCGCACTTAGATAATAACGTGCTTAGAAACATATTAACTAAACGAAGAAGTTTTGTTACCCAGAGCAGTCTTTTTCCGTTCAAAGTATATAGGTAGTTATAATGGAGTTTATTTCATTATGTCGGATGCTTGCACCAACATCTTCGAAAGTGGGGCATTTTCCTTAACTTTGGTAAGACATATTGATCAAAGGAGAAACAAATCAATAGGAATGCTGCAGTTATCCATGATGAAATATAAATGCAAGGACACGATTTCAAGCGACTCGAGCATTTCCAGGATGGTGCTATAATTTAGTACTAGACAGAAACATTAGCTAGGATCAAAGTAGCAAAACGAGGTAAGTGAACAGCAAGATTATAGTAACGAAGTTCTCTCGAATTAAGCGTGGATTGCACCCCAATGCGTCTCCTGGCGTGTGAGAGATTCGTTGCCAGCAGCGGCCATAACCATGCATAGTTCACAGCCGGAGGCGACCCTCGCGGTCATCCGGTGCCTGCGGGAAACCGTCGGCAAATGCCAGACACCGCCACTCGCACAGCATAAAACGGATCGCCACCCGTCTGTAGACATCAGTTCACAGGTCACAACCCGTGTGCAACAGGCGGCCTCATCAACAGTCATGAGGTGTTTTCTGAGCGTCTGTACACTGCTGGCGACGGTGATTGCCTCGCCTGTCCCCCAGGTTGACGCGTACGGGGCTCCGACACCGCTGGACGCCGTCGATGCAGCTAGCCCAGGTCCGCTCGGTCTTCTGGGCGGCCGAGGTCGACTCGGCCTGGGCCCGGCTAGCTACGGCGGCCGTTCTTTGGGAGGTGTTCTGGGCGGTCCTCTGCGAGGACAGCGTGGCGCATTCATCGGGAACCTGGGCAACCCGCCCCAGCTTCGGCCGGACGGGCTGCTGGACGGGCCGGGCGTGCCCTATAGCTTCAGCTGGGCCGTGGACGAGCCTGACTACGGCAACAACTGCGGCCACAGTGAGGAGAGCGACGGCATCGTGACGCAGGGCGAGTACCGTGTGCTGCTGCCCGACAGCCGCATCCAGATTGTCACGTACGGGGTGGAGGGTGACAGCGGCTACCAGGCGCAGGTCACGTAGGAGGGCGAGGCGGTGTTCCCGCTGCCCGGCGAGCCGGGCGGCCCTGCCGTCCGCCTGCCCGGCCCGCTCGGCCCGCGCACGTACCGGTCCGGAGCCGGTCTGACATTCCCGTCTGGAGACACCGTCCGCCTGGGCTTCCCGCTGTCGGAGGTGGCTGGCGACGTCCCTGCCACGCCCAGCTCCAGCTACGGCTACTAGCAGGTAGCCGCACCTGGAGACTGCAGTCAATGAAGCCATCGTATGACGCGGCTCTGATCAACGAGCGTGTGCACGTGGTGCCGAAGTGAGTGGCCTTGCAATGTTGTAAATTCAAGTTATAACTTGCAATGATGTACACCTGTCTCTGGCGCCAGGTCGTGCTTGGTTTATTTTTCAGCTGGAGGTGTGGCACATCCAATCGTTTGCGAGATGGGATCAGGGGTGTAACTACCACTGGAGTCCGTGGGGTTTGCACCCTGGTGCCTCTGGAATATTAGACCGTGTTGGTCTTGTTTTGACCATATCAAGTGGCACTAAATACAAGTGGACTCTATCGATATTCAATATGTGGTAACACACATGGATTGGGATGTTTTCGAAACTGCGACACCTATGCCAACTGGCGTTTCTTGCACACAAACACTCACTTTTCAAGGCAACCCCAGCTACCAAAATACTCTTTAATGTTTATTATTAGGATCAAAACAAGTTCAAACACTAATCCATGCGTTATTATTGAATGCTTCCTGTAGGAATAATCGCGAATTTTACATAAATTGATGCGAGTCATCTTGGTTAATCAGCAGTGTCACTGAAAAGTGACACTCACACTCAAGACTGCATGAAAAGTTGCATTGCATGTTACTTGTTTTAGTCTTTCAACTTATTTTCGACGGTCAGGTTAGTGTCCGGCGCCTTTTACGGAGCGTAAAAGCGTAGCACGCTGCCGAACCATGCTGCATTGCTGTTTTGTTGTTTTTTAATGGAGGAGCCCCGGGTAGTGCTTCTATAACAGTGGGTGAAACGTATATGTTGAATTTTCTAAGTACTTAACGCCGTACCAGATGACAAGAAATGTAATGACGTCCATGCACAACAGCGTAGTCAGAAATCGGCGCATCACCGACAGCCTCTTTTAGCCCCGCAGCTTGCAATATTATGCACACAACGGAAACGTCCATTTCGTCCGTCCACACGAATTCAGAAAATGCTTCCGATCTGCGCAGGCTGCAAGAACTAAAAATATTGTGACTAGGCCAGGAGTTAACAAAGCTAAACACAGAGGATAAGGTAACACCATTATTTACCGCGTACCCTCCACCACGAACATTGTGCCAACCTCGGAAACTTGCATAACCTAAAAATATTGTTTAAACTGAGTGTTTCACATTTGCCTTAGGTTTCAAAACTCAAATAGCCATCTCGAGGATCGTCTGTACAATTCACAGTCCTCCTCTTTCTAAGTCCTAAAACCCTCTGGTTTCTGAGCATAACGCCCACTAATATGCTAAGATATGTAGACTATTTTTACGGGTTGCGTGAACGTCAATGAGACATGCATAACGCCACGCATATTTTTTTCGAACATGCGTATTCAAGCAACCGCGGACAGCGGTCGTAGAAATAGCGCTGACCGAAATGGCCCAGCTATTGATGTTCTGGTAGAAATGTTTTATCTCACGAAATATCAGGGCCGACGAGAATGTGATGCGATGATGATGGACTTTAATACATGTGAACACCAGATAGCCCGCACACTTCCCCGAAACACATTTAGACTTAAATGCTTGTTATCACCTCAAACTCTGTATTTGGAACGATGAGGAAGGCCTCAGACACCAAAGCCCCACTAAGCCTAATCCTGAAGCTAGAGGAATTTACTGAGCGGCCCGGATATTCCACGACAAGGCATCTGATGAACATGCAATGATCACAGCACTGAAGTGAGGGGAAAAAATCTGCAAGAGAGCATTCTTATGGTGTGATGTCTGTTTAACCCCCTAACTTGCCGTTCCATGACGTCATCTTGACATGACATGCTCTGTGACCCAGCGCTCAATTTTGCTCGATGCAGTCCTGCAGACTGTGCGGCGCTGCGGCACGACGCTGTCCCAGATCCTGCTGGCACGGGCGGTTGCCCCTTCCGGTCTTCGGAGGACGACCAGCGAGAGCACACGCTCCACGCCTTTCCGCTAACCTAGGTGACGCCGCGCGTCGAGTTGGCTCTGACATGGAGGGGCGACGGAGGACGTGGCGCCCACCATTCATGAATGCCGACAGCACCTTGTCTCATGTCAGACCTTGCTTAGGGTGATCGTCCAAATCTTGAAGAATGGACTTGTGCATCTTGTCTGGGAGATCCGGCAGGGTGTTTCGCGTACCGGCCGTTGGGTCAGCAACAGGCGAGAGGGGCAGGGGTATGCTGCAGAACACCACGGGCGTCGACAGGTCTGACGGTCTGACGTGTCGGCTCTATGGCGGTGATGGTCTCCGCCCTCAGGGTGGCAAACCATCCATATGGCGTATCACGTCGTCCTGCCAAGAAAGAGCAGTTCAGCTATCCTTTTGAAGATCGGCTGATTTCGTTGGACGAAGGTAATGTGCTTCCTCCCAAAATTGTGTGCAATCTATAGGAACGATTGACTTGATTGTGCCTGACTTGGTGTCTGACCAACTATCACAGCGTTGTCCTTTTTATAAGGTATGTCATTCTTTTAGTTTCAATGCCCTGAAAACGTTCAGTGTCCCATTGTTTCTCAACACGTTTTGACCAATCGTGACACCCGCTGCAATGATTCTTTGCAAAACGTAATGCGACTTATGTGATGCACACCGACGCCGGCACAATGAATAGAGTACTGATGTCCTGTAGCAAATTGCCTGGAAACCTTATACTCGGCACAGGTCTTCGAAATCTTTCATCCTAGCCGTCACGTTTCTGTTTCCAGCCCTTTCCACGCACGGGGTACCCGGTGCTAGGATGTGGTAACCCCATGTACCACTATACTGATGCTCCTGGGACGTGCATTTCTAACCCCAAGCTCGGTTGTGGTCACCAAGACCTTTTGGCTTAGCCTGTATCTCGTGTCACCATAACCTTTCGTATCAGGCATAAGAATGTGGGAGCTACGATGACCGTTATTTTTGGTATCTTTTAGCAGGGTCTGCACATGTTTGGAAAGTTTGATGTCTTACTGTCTACCAGTCCATGGTTGCGCTTAAGTTGTCAATAGGCATGTGAGATCACAAACATTCCTTTGAAAGCATGCTAAAAGCGTGCTAGAGCCACGAACATGTTAAAGCTAAGTTTCTGTAAACCAAGGCCAGAAAGCCATTTTATCGCAGTCAGAGATCTTTGATTATTTAAGGACTCCGGTCAAAATTATTAACCATAAATGTCATCACTCGATGTGCTCATTTAAAATGATCAGCAGAAATTCAATTCACTATGCTTCTTAGAAAATATAGATGTTGGAGAATAGTCCTGATATGTTCTATCTTACTGCACATGTATTCAACTAGTCATTTGAGAGAAAATTATCAAAATTTAACAGATGATACCATCAATGTAAATCCATATCACAAAAGAATACATGTAACACTTGACATGTATGGGGTATAAGTAGATCCTGCATAGCATAGCAGTGACATCATGGGAACAATTTCAGCACACATACCCTATATATCCGAGACCCCACAGTCTGGCATACAGATGCCACCAACTCCAGTGGTAAGAGAGCTAATGTTGGAAGGAATTGCGATGTCGCAAAGGTAGTTTCAGGCAGGAAAATACCAAAATATCTTTTTACACTCAAACATGTTGAAAATTCAGTGTGATTTGGCCTGGCCAGTTTTACACACAAGTGTGAGAATCCAAGCACAGACGTCATGTAGGTGTCAGGTACAGCAGATCATTTTTTGTCAGACTGGATGCAGACATTTTGTGCTTTGATGGCCTCAGTTAATAAACATATGCACCACTTCCCATCACTGACATTTGTACACTTTACTAAATTCACTAGCAGACTGATTAAAATAATCAACTTCCCATCAAAACAGCAGTATATTAAGAAAAAAAGTCTACTGTATATTACAATGTAACGTACCATGAAGTATAACGAAATCTACCGTGTAGGAACTTTTCCGTACTTTGGTTTTCTTAATTTCCGTATGGTTTTACACATGGCTAGTACGAATGTTACGACATACAGTCACTGTTTAAAACCAGACCCAATCCAGCCAAGTATACCCAAAACTTACCTCTGTGAGCGCGATCAGATTGCAAGACCTGCCCCACGCAGGGATGACAAGTCAATACCAGCACAACCAATACCAAAGAAAAACTCACACTAAAAGCGGATACCCCGATGCCCCATAGTAATGCTGTGATGTCGAAGTCGAACCAAGGTCATGAAACCGCATTTTCCATACGTCGCTTGTGCGCCGGAAATGTCGTGAAATATGCCAACCCCACCCGAATCTACCAGCACTATTGCTCACGTTGTTTACATGGGTTGCCTGGAAACGCATGCACGAAAAAATGTGCTAGCGCCACAGCAACGTTACGCAAACATGGCCGTCACATAGGCCATGCGGCCTCCAAATCCAAGAATACCACCGTCTAGCCGTCCAGATCTTGGCGTCCGTTAGCACGATTTCCAAATATAGTTGATGCCAATTGGCGCTCAATCTATGCTGAGCAAGCTATGCCACTTTCTATCAACTTTGGTTGTGTCTTTGTTTGGTTTAGAGCCATTTCGACCAGAAAAGCTCATTCCAGGGCTATGGGATGAAGGAGAATGGATTACAGTGGGGCAAGGTTATATGCGCCTGGGGGGCTAACCGCGCGCGCTTTAGACCGCGCAGGGATCTCCCAGAGTCCCCGCGCTGCGCTGGGCGCCCGTCGGCGTCCTCCTTCCCAAGGGCTCCCCAGCTCACTCATGGCTGACGCATGCAGCCTACTCCGGATAAGCGGGGCTTCGCGAGGCTTCAGGATGAAGCAATAACAGAGTATGAGAGTG